TGGGCCTCAGCCTCTCCTCCCTCACCTGCCTGTTGATAGCCACAGAGGGAGCAGTTGTCCCCACCCCACCCCCCACTACCCCCAGGGAACTGAACCTATCTGCAGGGCCTGTCTGTCTTTTATTTTTGAAAAGGAAAAAAAGGAGGGGTTGCAAGGGATAAACTCTGACGTCATGGGCCGGCGTCGGACACGGGGGTTGGAGGCCATCTGGAGCAGGTGCTGGCAGGGCCCCTGGGAAAGGAGAGAGAGGGCAGCTGGCTCACCGGGTGGGGGTGTCCTGGGGTCAGACAAAGGCCTCACGGCATGATGAAGTTAAGCTTTTCTGGAATTTCTGGCCTGGGAAGGATGGATGATGCTTCCTTGGCCTCTGGCTCCTCTCCTAAAGCCAGGCCCTATAGGTGCAGGACTCCTGGAAGAGGTCCAAGCTCAAGGAGACCTGACCAGACAGTACCCTTGCACCCTCCGTGGATCCCCGTCACCAACAGATCTGGGAGTCTCAGGGGTGCAGGGCCCTCCCACCTGGGAGGGTATGTCTGGTGCACTGACATTGAGAACTCTCTTCCGCCCTGGCTGCTTCCTCCTGCCTTCCTCTAGGGCTCCGAAACTTCTTGACGGGGCCTCCAGACTCATCTGCCCCCATCCAGGAGGCAAGGAAAGATTTTCCCCCTGATTCAGGTGGTGAAACTGACGGCCCCATGCGGTGATGGGGTTGGCGAGGGTCCCACTGCAATTTCCCGGCCCGGCCTCCTTGAGATCTGCTCACCGCCTGTTCAGTGTCCTCTCTGGGAAGTTATGCAACTGGAAGGGGGCCCCCTCGGGATGAAATAATTGCAGAGAAAAACAGATGGGCCTCTGAGCAATCTTTCCCTCCTCTGTGTGCCTGAGAGTCCTCCTCAGGACCAGGAGGGGGCGCTGTTACACTGAGCCTGGGGAGGCGGCAGACCAATCCTCTCTTAGCCACACATTCCCCAGCCTCCTAAAATGTTATGCGCACCTCTCTTACCTCATCAAGGCCCCCTCTCATCTCTACGCATGGGTGCTCAGTCGAGACCAACTCTTTGAGACCCTATGGACTGTGGCCTGCCAGGTCCTCTGTCCATGGGATTCTTTAGGCAAGAATACTGGAGTGGATTGGACTGTAGCCCACCAGGCTCCTCTGTCCATGTCCATGGGGATTCTCCAGGCAAGAATACTGGAATGGATTGCCACGCCCTCCTCCAGGGGTCTTCCCAACCCAGGGACTGAACCCCAGGGTCTCCTGCATCTTCTGCGTCACATGTGGATTCTTTACCAATGAGCCACCCATTTCTACAGGGTTCTTGTAAAGGACTGAATATCAGTTGTCCCCTGGAAGGGCCAATCCACGGTAGGCACAAGGATCTAACCTTGCCCTTGTGGAGGAAGGAGAAAAAAGGAAGAGGGGCCAATAAGAATGGAGTCTTGGGACTTCCCTGCTGGCCCAGTGGTTAAGACTCTGAGCTCCCAATGCAAGGGGCCCAGGTTCGATCCCTGGTCAGGGAACTAGATCCCACATGCTGCAACTAAGACCTGGTGCAGCCAAATAAATGAATTAAAAAAAAAAAAAAAAAGAATGGAGGCTTTTATCTCTGTGCCCCCACCTTTCAGAGGTTCAGGAGGAAGAAGAGGTCCCAGGCATGCCACTTTTGGATGCCTGGAGCTTGGCACAATTCAGCCTGACTCTGACTTTTCCTACTCCCTCTCTATGTCCCCTCCACAACCGATCACTCTCCTTCGGCCCCGACGGTCAAGCCCCGCCCCCTATGCTTGCTTGCCTTCCTCATCCTCAGGAGCACAACACCCCCAACCTTTCGAAGACAAGCCCCGCCCCCTCTTTATCCCATCTCCTTACCTCTAGAACCTACTTGCCTGGCTCCGAAGTTTGCCTCCTCTGGGCACTCCTACCAGAAGACCTCCCCCACTTTCTTTCCCTAGGTCTGAGTACTCGTGTTTTTCTTTTACCGCCCCTCTAAGCCTGGATGCATGCCCCCTCCATTAACCCAAAAGGTGTCACTCTGTTTTCCATCTACGTCTCCCTCCTCTCCTTTCTCTCCTCCTGCCTGCCAGGTGTCCTTTCCCGGCTCAGCACACAGTTTTCCTTTTCCAGGAAGCTTGCCCTCCTAGCCCAAGCTGGGGAAGCTGCCTGTCTCCCTGCCATTGTCCTTTTCAGCCCACAAAGCTAGTGTCTGTTGCCTGGGGATTGGGAGTGGGGGCTGCCAGGATGGAACCCTACGGGTTGCATGGATGTTCAGTGAAGACTTGGGGGAATCAGCGGATGGAGAAGTGACAAATGACAAGATTCCCTACAGAACGGTCAGGCTCCTGTGGCCCACTGACCTTTTCTCTCTCCTTTGCCGTCAAGAGGAGTTATCACACTGGGCATTCAATAAAGGGCCACAAACAGCTCATGTTCAGCTGCTCAATGGTTCCAACTTTCCCAGGCCTGGACTCTGGGGACAGAGTAAGAAGAAGCAGACCTTATGGAGGAGAAAGCAGGAAGAAGGAATCTTGAGTCCCAGGTCTAGCCCAGGAGGCAGAGAGAGCCTTCCCTGCAGCTTTCTGAGCAAGGAAATAGGCAAGAGGGGCAGGGAGCTTCCATCATCAAGGCAGTCATGTGCTGACTACCTCCTTCCCTGAAGGTCCCTCCAGCACCATCCTCCCACTTCTATCCATCCCACCTCTCAGGCCCCAGGGAAGCAGGAACTGCACCCTGATCTGCCCCAGGGAAGCCTCATACCACAATTAACTCTTCCAGGATCTGACCTGCCCCAAAGGACCACAGGCCAGTGTTCAGAAGTGAGGGCTCACCAGAAAACTCTTCCACAGACAGGGGTAGGTAGAGCCCAAGGTGTTGATTCTGTCCACCCTGGGATGGGGGTGTGGTAGGGTTGATTTACTGCATGCAATCTCAAAGCTCAAAGAGAGAAGAGACCTACCTAGATGGTTACCCAGCCGTCACCAAGTACAAACAAGGGACCCAGAGGACAGGAAGAACCAGCCTACGGATATTCAGACAGAAGAAGGTGCCCATGAAGCTCCCAACCTGTCCTTAATAAGGGGCTTCAGAGGATGTAGCTGCTGCTCCCTGGAAACCAACCCTGTCCCTGGCCCAATCTGCCTGTCTCCTTAAACCTGTATAAACAAAGCAAATCTCAAAGAAGTTCCAGGTTGGTAACATTCCTGTTTGTCCAATAGACAAAAAGGAGAGGGAACTTGAGCCTCCACCTGGAGATCCCTCCCTCTTCCTCTTCAGTATCTCTTCTTTTCTCTTCAAATGAAAAGAGTGGTGCCACTCTACTGGAGTAACTATGGACAGGCAATCAAGGTGGCTGCCTGGAGGTGGTGAACCAACTCATCAAAACACAAAGGACTCACTGCTGATGGTCATCTTGGAGTTCAGGAGATCTGCTACCCCAAATTCAGGCCTCACATGTAGGTTATTTCCTAAACAAAGGGACCTGCACTTTCCAGCGCAGAATGCCAGGGTGGGAAAGAGAAAGCAGATGGTTTTGCATCAGCCTCTGCTGTGGGATCCACTAGGAGACACCTGGTTCTCCCAGTCCCTCTTGACTCCAGTAGCCTTCAGGCCTGGGGAGCAGCTTCCTTTCCCCGAAAAAGGTCATCCGGGTGCCTCCAACCCTCCGGGTCGTCTTAGCCCCTGGGACCGCCAGCGCACCCTCCCCTGGTCTCTGCTCTCCAGCTGAGTCCTGTTCAGAGGCAGCCACGGAGTCATAGATTCCCACACCTCACTCAGTTCTTAGGATCCTCTATCTCCGCCGCCCGTCCCGAATGACTCCTCAGCCTGCGGAGACGCCCTTTCCAGGAGAAAGAGTCGTGGGCGGCAGGGGTACTTGGGCGCGTACCGACAACTACGATGGGGGCCACTGAGCGGCAGAAAACGCGAACGCGACCACCTGTTAGGGCTCACAGAAGCCAGACCCGGCTCGGGGCCGGGTGAAGCTCGCTCCCCAGACTGTGCAGGTGCAGAGGACACTGGCGCGACAGCCCCACGCTGCGGATCCTCGCGTGGGTGCAGACCGGGTCAGGCGCGCCCCCGCCGGTGCAGACGGGAGCCATCTGGCGGGTCAGACCCGGGGACGTTCTGTGCAGCCGACTCGGGCTGAGGACGCGCTTAGAGTCACCGCGTCGGGCACACGGGGCTTCGGTAGACACGCAGGAACACTCGCATCTCAAACACACCCGCAGTTTTCTGCTTTTTGCTCTCACCCGCGGGCGAAAAGGTTGTATTCTCTGATGTAGGGCTTGCGCTCCCCCCTGCGGCCCCGGGCAAATCCCTCTCTTCTTGTGCCTCTCTCTCCGACCTCCACCATCCGCCTCCCTAGTCTCAAGGCATGGGTCCCTCCCGCCCGTCAGGTGCCCCGGGGAAGAGATTAGCAACAAGGCAGCTCTGAGTGGATTTCGGACTGTGCCAACTTTCTGGCTGTGTGCTTTTGGTCAAGTGATTTAATTCCTCTGAGCCCATCTTTGCACCTGCAAAGAGGGAAACTGATCCTTTCCAGGACGAGCGTGTGGGTTGAGGGCCAAGCTTGTGCGCAGGGCACAGGGTGCACGGACGCTTGGCATGCTAGGGCGCGCTCCCTGCAATCCGTGGTCCCTTGTGCGCGCCGCTTTGCAGCTTGGAGCGCAGTCAGGAGAGAGCCGCCTAGCCGCGGGATCCCTCCAGGGTGAGGTGAGGGTGGGGGCCGAGGGGGAGCCCCCGCGGCCCCCTCCCGGCCCTCGGCGCGCGTGCCATTGGCCCGGACGGCCCTGTGGGCGGGAGGATGACATCAGCGGCAGGTTGGATTATAAAGGCGCGAGCGGAGCCGCGGACTCAGAGCGCACCCAGCCGGCGCCGCGCAGCACTGGGACCCGCGCCCGCACCGCAGCCCGGCCAGCCTGCTCCGCGCTCGCCTGCCGGTCGGCCCGCCGGCTCCGCGCACCCTCGCTGCCGCCCGTCTGCGCCCAGGCACCCCGCGGGCACCATGCACCTCTCCCAGCTGCTGGCCTGCGCCCTGCTGCTCGCGCTGCTCTCGCAGCGGCCCTCCGAAGCCAAGCCCGGGGCGCCGCCGAAGGTGGGTTCTTTCGCGGGGACGTCGGAACCTGTGAGGGGCAAATGGGAGGGCTGGGGCGCCTAGGAGGGTGTGGCGCACCGGGGTCGGGGGTGAGAGCAGTGGGGGCGGAAAGACGGCTGTCTCCCCTGAGATGCGCGCGGGGCACAGCTGGGGGGCCCTAGAAGCCCGGACTCAGGAGAGCGTCCACAAATGCGCAGCCCCGACCCCAGAGTGGGCAGCCCCGCAAGGAGGCGAAAGGAGAGAAGGGCAAAGGGCTCCCCGAGGGAGCGGACCACGGCGGCCCCGAGGCAGGTGGACGCAGGGCCAAGCAGCCCGGCACCTGTGACAGGCGTTCTCAGGACTCCGCGCCGGACCATCGGCGGCCCCGCGGAGTCCCCCGCGCTGCCGCGGTGTGTCCCTTCACCTGCCCGTCCTTTGCCTTGGAAGGTCCCGCGAACTCCGCCCGGCGAGGAAAGGACCGAGCCCCAGGCTGCGGGCGGCGGTCAGAAGAAGGGCGACAAGACTCCCGGGAGCGGTGGCGCCAATCTCAAGGACGACCGGTCGCGGCTGCTCCGGGACCTGCGCGTGGACACCAAGTCCCGGGCGGCGTGGGCCCGCCTCCTGCACGAGCACCCCAACGCGCGCAAATACAAAGGAGGCAACAAGAAGGGTTTGTCCAAGGGCTGCTTCGGCCTCAAGCTGGACAGGATCGGCTCCATGAGCGGCCTGGGATGTTAGTGAGGCGACCCCTGGCGGCGGTGAGTACCACCAACCCTGGCCTCTGGGCGCTCTTCACACCCAGCACCCCCGCGAAGCCCCCAGAACCAAGCCTGCACCCCCACCCACAGGCCGCTTCCTCTCTGATCCCGTGGCCCTGGGACCTTTCCTCCTCGCGACCAGCCCATCCGGACATAGGATTGAGTCTGTGTGCTTGACTTTTGCCCCAGGGACTTTTATCATCCCATTTTACAGATGGCGAAAGTGAGGGGAAAGTAGTCGGGGAACTTTGGCAAGGTCAGAAATGGCTCAGCATGGATGAACCCATCTGACTTCCTCTGAAGAATCAGAGACAGTTTGGTGGGGTTCCACCCACCCCAGGACCACAAAGCAACCAGCAGCACTGGCCCCAGTTCTCCAACTGGGGGGGGGGGGGCAAGGGAGGGGTGAGGTTGAGGGGTGATCCTGGGTTTGTGGGAGCAAAGGTGGAAGGGCATACATACAAGTCAAGGGTAAGTTCATTTGCCAGCCACTGCATCATGGTGCTGGATAGTAAGCAGCCCAGGGGTCAGGACGGCTCCCTGGGTCTTGTCCTTGTGATGGGACAGACTTGGGGTGGCACCTGCCCCCTCCCAATAGACAGAATAGCCACTTGTTAGCATCACCAGGGAGCATTTCAGCCCCAGAGCATTCTGATTCTTGTCTGGTCTCTAAACCGTGGCTGTGGTCAAGCTGGCCTGTCCAGGGTCCTGACGTTCCTGCAATCCATGTGACTTCAGGATCCAACCTCAGTGTTCGTGGCACTATTTCAGAGCAAGGAAACAGAAACTAAAATAAATCTTTTTTTTTTTTTTGCCCCAACCTCAAACTCAAACATATCCCAAACTGAGCCACCCCCACCACACCTAGGCTCTACACCTGGGTTTCTGGCATGGCCTTCTCCCCCTCCACCAGGCTGGAAACCCCCGTGCTACCTTCTGCCCCTGCCGAGCGCTGCATCCTGGCAAGCTACTGGGCCAAGGTCCTTCCCTCCTTTCCCCATCCTCTCCATCCCCACCACCCATCAGTGTCCGTGGACAAACAACATGCAACCTCTGGAACTGACATTCAGCTGCTTTAGAATCTGACCCCTCCCGGTGTCCAGCCTTGCCTGCGGCCAGCTGTTGTCATTCCCTGTCCCACAGCCTTTCTGCCCCACTCCAGACCAAGCTGTTCTTTCATCCCAGAACCCACAGTGTCCACACTGACTTCCCCCCAGAGGACAAGAGCGCCCCTCTCTGAAGCTCTCCATCACAACACCTGACGCTTCTATACAGAAAACCTCACCTGAGCTATAGTTGTCTGTGAACCTCCCCAAATGAACTCATGAGCACATTAAGGGCCAGATGCTAGCCAAAGATGATCTGGGGTCTATAAGATGCCCAAAGGGGCTCTGAAAAATGTCTGTCAATGACTCACAAAACCTGCCTCACCCAACTTAGGGGCACTCCTCACCCACCTGCCCTAGCATTTAGCTGGCGTCTTTCCTCTCTGCAGCCAGACATGGCCAGGCTGTGTGCTTCTCCTGCAGGGGCTTCGTTTGTCTGAAATCTTAACTTACTGTGATTCTAGCATGCGTGCCTCAGTCTTTAGAAGCTACCATTGTGATAGGTTTGTTCTATTCTGTCCTATCTCAGCAACGAAAAGATGGAGCCACAGGCCTTAGACTTTCAACTTGTGATTTAAGCACCAAGTTGCAACTTGAGAATTCCAACAAATGGTATTATGAGTTAGCAGAGGATGGGATAAGGTCCTGGCATCAGGTCAAGTGCCTGCCGTGCACATCCCTTGTTCCTTGTTCTCGGATGTGGCTGTCTGTGGGTACCAGGTGGGGGTGGGGAGAAGGACCCTGAAGGAGGAATCGAGGTTGCTAAGACTTCTTGACCCCTTGGACCGAGAAAGTTTGTCAACTTCCTGGAAGTTCTCTTTTAGCTGAACACTAACCTCCAATATCCACAACCGTCTCAGCCCCACCCTCACCCCTATTGCCGAGAGAAGGCAGAGCATCCTTCCTGTTGCTAGCAGCAACAGATGCTAGCTATCTCACTGTCTGGGCTAAAAAGAGAAAGACAGCTTAGGGTTCCCCAGTGATGAAAGCTCTCCGAAGCAGTGGCTCCACTCAGGAGTTGACTTTGGCTCTAACCAGCCACCATAATGACTGTCGCTGATGGTTATAGCCTTGATTATAAAATGGTAATGACAGAGATGAGGTGTGCAAGGGTGCCTGAATGAACACCTCACAGACATCTGTCATCTGTTTAAACACATGGGACGGCCAGAGAAGGGGGCTGGGGGAGAGCTCACCAAGATCTTGAGGCCCAGGGTCCCTCTGCCCGTGCTGTCCACCACCCTACCTCTGAGGTGGCCTTCCTCCAGTCCTGGGGCACCCTCACACCCGTTCACCCTCACACCCACTAGCTGCTAACCCAGCACAACCACTCGTCTCCCCAGGGCAGGTGCAAGACGCCATTTTCTCTGCTTCTCAAAGGGACCCTTTCTGAGGAGAAGCCAACTGGGGAAGGAAGTGCTATTTACTGGGCCGCTGTGACCCAGACATTCTGCCAGTGCCCTGTGTGGCAACCCTGGAAGGTGGCTATTATCCCATTTTATGGGTGAGGAAAGCAAGCCTAAAAAGCTCTCCAGAGCCATCCTGGAAGTGCTTGTCCTAGTTGGGATTTGGGCCCAGAATTCCCCACTCTTCAGCCGCTTATCTCCCCCTTCCCTCCTTTGTCCCCCAGACCTATAAAGCCAAGGCAAGCACCTGACTGACGGTTTGTATTGTAGCTAAAATTGGAGACGGGGCGGGCGGGGGCGTTTTCCCTTCCCCTTCCCTCACTGTGTCCCACTGAGCACCCAGGGCAAGGCCTGCGCTTAGAAAGAGGGGGCTGCGGGTTGGCTGACTTTCTGGTTCCACCTATGCTTGGACAGGAGGTGCCAAGGACACATCCGGTGACGGCTGAGGGCCTGGGGAGGACCTGAGTGAAAGGGCCTTATCCCTCTGCAGCAAGGCCTCCATCGGGGCCTGTAGGGCAGAGGTGGAGGGACTGTGCCTCCTGCTATAGCTGGAGTGGGGGGAAGGTTCTAGATGTGCCCTGTAGGCTGGGCTTTCTCAGCTGAGCTCCCCTGGCCCTCTGTGTTTCAGGATTGGGGACTTGCTGCGTTTTGCTGAGGTCACCCTTGGTCATCAGCCTCCTCGCATCTGGAAGCACCTCCAGCGCAATGTGGCTTTTACATTTCTTTTTTTTTTTTCCTGGTACTGGGAATACACAACACCAGCTGTTTTATGATTATTTAGGGAGGGGGGGTATGACTTTATCATTTGTTTTTTTTTAATGAAAAATAAAAAGTTATATATTATATATATTATATACGTGAAACACACACACCTACACCAACGTGATGACAAGGGACAGTTTTGAAGAGACTGACAAAACCAGCTGTAAAACATTGCTGTTTGTAAATTCATGTCATGCATAAATGTATTTATGTTGTAAAGCTATTTATATTGTTTATAAAGAGATATTTATAAAAATTTTATTTATGTAACTAAATGAAAGAAGTCAATCATTGTCATGTTTTTTGTCTTAACTAGTTGAAAAATGTAAAAAAAAACTCATTCCATGAACATCTTGAAAGCTGTCTTTATTTACTCATGGCACTTCTTTTTTAGTAATGAGTCTGAGGAGGAGGGAAGAGGTGGAGACAAGGATTTTGCCTCTGAATGGATCTAGCAGCCATGTTCCCAGTTCTGGATTGATTTGAATCCAAATCCTCCAGGAATCTTGTTAAAAATACAGATTCCTTCCCCCACCCACCCCTGATCCACTGAGTCCGTGTCTCCCAGGATAGGATTGGCCATGTGGCTTTTGTCCCAAGTGATTCTGATCAGCTCAGCCATGTCAGGAAGCTCTGCTCAGGACACTGGACAGCTGAGAAGTCAGATATGGTGAATTAAATTAAAATTAAATTTAGCTAACGGAGGGCCCTCTAATTGTACTCCATCTTCTCTCTGTTATTAGAGGAAACAAATAACTGAAAATTTCCTTGCTGCTTTGGGGAGATTTAGAAGGTTCCTGTGTAACTTGCGGAGTGGATCTGGTTACCTTATGAATCTCAGCTTGGGGAATTACGGGGTGTGGTTTTCTCCAGGCTCAGGGGGGTAAGGCCAAGGATCTCAGAAAGAAAGAACATATTCTCTGGTTGGTTTCCTATTTCCATCATGTGATGTGCTTTTTGAGGGGGATGTGGGTTTTCTTTTCACCTGAAGCTGTTCACAATTTTGGCTTATACGCCCCATGGAGCTTTGCATGAGAAATTATGAATATTTAGAATCTCTTCTCCTGACGCCATCAGGAAATTTAAATCACTTCAAGCTAATCTCACTCTATCCTTGGTACGTGCCTCTCCTGGGCAGCTCCCCCGTCTGCCTTCTGTCCCTAGTTTGGTGAAAACAAGGACGAATAGAGCCTCTGGGGCTGGTTCCGCCAGGCGGGCGTGACTCCTCTCAGGGGGATCCAGCATGGTTGTGGCCCCAAGATCATGGGGTCAGCAGGCCTGTCCAAGTGTCTCCAGAGGAAAATTGGCTGGGGATGGGGGTAGCAAAAGGGCCAGTGGAGCCAGGATCCTCTGTCCATGGAATTCTCCAGGCAAGAAGATTGGAATGGGTTGCCAGTCCCTTCTCCAGGAGATCTTCCCGACCCAGGGATCGAACCCAGGTATCCCGCATTGCAGGCAGATTCTTTACTGTCTGAGCCACCCGAGAAGCCCCATGCTGCTGCTGCTGAGGGCCTGTGGAAGGGCCTGAGGGCTGCTGAGGGCACAGGGAAGTGGCCTGTGGCACCTGGCTTTTCCGCTGACATCCGAGCCCGTGACCCCTCTTCCCTGAGCAACAGGTTCTCGGGGTGGGCAGACGGCCAACACAGTGACCTCACCTAGGTAAGGAAACAGCTTTGAAGTCATGTTCCAGCTGGGGAGACACAGGA